ACCTAGAAAAATTTTAAATTGTTTTTGATAGAATATTTTGCGTGTAGAGTTGCCATATATTATGAAGTTGATATAAAAAAAGTATGCTGGTCAATGTAGAATACAATATATTTGAGCATAAAATAGGAAGCTAGAATGATACCCTTCACATGATAATTTATAGTAAAAATTATAAAAAATTTATTTAAAAATTAAAATTAATAAAGCTTTAAAAGGATGTCACTATATCAAAAGAAAATATTTTAAAACAAAAAACTTTACTAAACAGTTATTAAAATTAAAATATATAAGAAAATTTCCAATAACTTTGATTTGCTGCAGTATTAGGGTTGCCTTCTATTACAAAATTCATGTAAAATAAATATGCTGCTCAAGCACAATTTAAGTGGTATAAAATGGTACTTTTTACAGCTATAAATTTTTTAGTAGTGTTGCCACATGTGAAAATTTAAAATTCACAAAATTATTATAAAAAATGTTATTTTAAAATTTATGAAATAGGAAATTTTACATATAAATATAGACATAATGGAAAAAAAATAATATATAAGAAAATTTAAACTTGCACGTAGTAGTTATGAAACTTTTAGTGCATAAGATTTGCATCTAGGTATTTTTGTTCTGTTTATGTCTCCAAACTATTTTTTGACATTACATATTGTTTTGTTTTCCAAAAATTTTAGCTTAGAATATTTTTTCTTTCTTCCTTTTTAAGGTACAAATTTCACTATTTTTCTAATTTATTCTTCAAAAAATATTTTAATGTTCTTTAACTTATTTTATTTAATTTTTGTTCCCAACTGTTTACTTGCCAGTTTTTCTTAAATAGTTTTTATTACGCCAAATTTAATTATTTTTCCACATACCCATTTATATCTGCTCGCTTTTTCCTTTTAATATATTTTCCAATACTTCTTCTCAAAACTTTTTCACAGCAAATTTTCACTTCACTTCGTTTACACACACACACACACACACACACTGGTACATTTACACCCACTTCATATCGCCCGTTCTTACTTAATACTTTCTTGCAACACCTTAACTGTTATGCTCACACTCACTTTACTCGCTCACTTAGCTGTTAGTGTCCTGAATTTTCCTCAATGCCGGCTTTTACCTTTTTTTCTCCATTTACTACAGTTTCTTTCGCTTACTTCTTTGCTGGGTGTTTAAGAAAAAAAAAATAGTATTTCTTATGTGTTTTTGTATTGAAATTCACTTGACGAAATGTGTTCACTCTCAAATCGTTTTATCCCCATTTTGCTGCATCGCTGCACTCACACGCACACACGCAAATGCACGCCACACCTGCACTTAGCTGGTTGCGAGCGTTTCAAGCCGCAAATGTGTTGAAAGTTGATTGTTTTTCTTTTCTTTTGCGTTGCAATGTGAAATTTTCTCACAGCAAATTTGTTGTAGTTCTTGTTCTTCGATGTTTCTTTGTACGTTTTTATTTTATACATCATTTACCGTTAAGTATTGCATTTTGCAACGCCCCTTTCGCCAAGCACCTTTTTTTTAAGTGCTGAATTTTTTTTTACTTTTTTTTGTTTTTGTTTGAGTGCACTCGAGTGACGGCTCAACTGTCACATTTGCTTCTTCTGCTTTTTGATGTTGAAAACTTTAGTTGTTGTTATTTTTTTTGTAGTGTTTTTTTTTTTTATTTTGTTCCTTTCTTCTACTTTTTTTCGCAAATTTTGTTCCTGTTTTGTTTTTGCAATCTGTCAGTTGTCACTTGTCATTTATTGTTTACTTTGCTGCCGTTTAATGTTATTGTTGTCACTTATGCTTTGTTTTGTTGCTGTTAATTCTATTTAAGTATTTTTTGCTGTGTTGCTTTTCCCCATAGTTCTTGTTCTTGTTGTTGTTGTTTAAGTCAGTTGTTTATGCATTCACACGCTGAAGCACAATTCAATTGTCATTCTCCATTTTTTGCTTACATTTCGCTTGACAATTCATCAAGTTGGCATAACGCCTGCTCGAGTGCAAGTAGTAAATAAAGATGTATGAATGTATGTATGTATATGGAAAGGCTTAGGATTTTGCCTTACTAAAGTGGATTTATGGCATCAAAAACGATTAATGAAATATTAAAGATTTTTGGATGTAAAAAATAAAAAAAAAATTGGGGAAAATATTCCATTCAAACTGCGGAATTAATTTACATTAAGTGATCTCAGTATTGTTGCTTGGAAAGAGTGAAGTTTTGCTCCATTCTCTTACTATTTATTTTCCAAAGAAGACTTCCTCTACCAGGTATTGAAAAAGAACCGGAAATCAGGTCTTTCTAATCTGTACTCAACAATTCAAGTTCTTTCCCAAATTACCAGTCTCGTCTCATCAAATTTTGTCACGCCCCAGGTAATGAACCATTTAGGAGGACGATAATGAAAAGCAACCTTGTGAATTTGATATTTATTCTTTGAGGCAGCACTCGTTACGGGGTTTTGAGGTCCTTTACAGTTCTAAATGAGTCTGTGGAATTGCTCAGCATCAATTTTGACGGCCGAATATATTTTGAGTTGCCGAACTCAAATTTGCATGCAGAGAGAGCGCTTTTTGAGCACTTGATGGATATTTGGTCGGTGATAAATTTCCTAGATCTAAAAGCCACAGTATCCGAATATTTAGTAGGGAATCGGCTTGAATCCTGGTGAGGGTGAAATTCTTAAATATAGAATTAGTTTTCAAAATTGTAGTCGCTCCTCAGTAAGCTTTTAGCGCATTTTTCCCCATAAAAAGTCATCGACCGTTCAGAGGTAGCTTAGAATAAACTGTGGGCTCCTCAAATTTTTAAAAACATTAAAGTGTAAAGCACTAACTGGTCGAAGATATCCGCCGAAAATCGTATACAAATTGTAATGGAGTGTAGTCAAGTTTCTGAGAATGCAGTTACAGTCGCGGCGCTAGACTTAATTACTACTCTTTCGTCCATGTCGCGCACCCTTGAAACGTGAGCGGTAACCAACTCGTGTGGAGCCTTGGGTCACGGTTAAAAACGGGAAAGCTTCAGTGGAGTCACTCCGATAAATGCGGTTAACGGGTTCGCTGAAGTCTAATTGCAGTGTCTGTTCATCAGAGGTGCGGCTGCGCTATATAATCTGTACAAACATGAAACGTACTTGCCTAGCGAGGATGTGTGCTGAGCTTGGCACCCACAGGTGCTACTTTGGACTGAGTAGGCTATTCAAAAGTAGAGTCCTCACTCGACGAACGAAACCCAAGCTATACAAATCGCTTATCCTTCAAGTCCTGCTATATGGAGCAGAGCTATGTACGATGGCAACATCTGACGACTCAGCTTTAGAAGTTTTCGAGAGAAAGATTTTGCGTAAAATTGACGGCCCCTACGAGTTGGGAGCGCCGAATATCGTAGCCGATTGAATAATAACTTGTACGAGCTATAAAGGATATTGATATAGTTTAGCGAATGAAGATATAGCGGCTATGGTCGCTAGGTCCTGTCATCCAAATGGGATGAAGAGGACGACCTCCACTCATGAATCCACTTGGTATTTCAACTGGCGCCAAACAGCGAAAGGAAAATGTTGATTTGGTTATTATCGTGTAATATGTGCCAATGCCAATAAAGAAGAAGAAAATCTAATTAAGAACGTTCGACCAATTCTCCGCGACGAAATACTATATATTCGATCATTCGGTGATCATAGGGTGCCCCTTTTTTTTTGAAATTTTGTTTATTTAGGAACTGGTTTCGCAAAGATCTTGGAGAGCCCAAAAATATATTTCGAAAGAGTTGCAGAAATTTTTTTCTCAGACTTGCCCAGACGTCCAAAGACAGTCTGGTTGCTAAACATGTATTTCCCGCTATCAACAAAACTACGTCCAGCAACATGTTGTGAAAGCGTGTGAAATGTTGAGCAGTTCATGTAGAACATTTGAAAACACACACACATACACGCAAAGTGAAAACCAAAGCAATACAAACAAACAAACTTATCCACTGAAATGAATACAAAAGACTGCCACGTGCTGCTGTGTCAACAAACAAACGAAAAAAAACTTGATTGTTGTTGCTTTCCACAACAAATTTACGATATATACAAATACAAACAGAGAATGCAAAGAGAATGTTGCCGGCTGTGGAGCGTTGCCAGATAAGCACAAAGACGCTCTTTCGCTCTCAATTGCAATGTTTTGAAGATTTTCTTGCCCCACAAAAAATCGTGCGTGCGTGTGTATGTGAGTGGTGTTTTTGCTCCAACAAAGTGTGTGTTCAGTGCGGGAAAATCTCACATTGCATTGGTTGGCGCACACGACCACCACCGACCAACCGCCCGACCCACGACTAGACAAACGAAGCGAACCAGCGAATGCGTTGCGCCACAGCAATTCAGTAGCAAATTGAACTTCGACGGAAACGGAACTAAATGGTACGTAAACGGAACGTGAAATGAAGTGAGTGGGAAAGCAATGAAATTTATTGTGCTATTTGTACTAAGAAATGTTTAAGGTGATGATGATGTGTGTGTGTGTTTGTGGCTCGAGTTGTGTAGAGTTGAGTGGCCTGCGGAAATAAAATTAATACGAGCAGTGCAGCGGAGGAAGTGCAATGTAAATGATGCGAGGGAAATAAAATAAATAAATAAATAATAATAGCATTCATTCAGCAGCAATTTGTGAATTTTAAAGAAAAATGCTAAATAGAAAAATTTATTCAAAACAAAGTTTTAGTATTTAATGTGATTCGATAACTAAACATAATCACAAAGTGAGTTCGGTTAGAGAAAATTGCAAAAATTGCTTTTGTAGTTTAAAAATTAAAAATAATAGTTTTGAAAATGCAAAATCCTGCATAAAAATGCAAAGGGCAAAGGAAGTATCCAATATTTATAATCCAAATAGTGAAAAAATGAGTAAAGAAAAAATTTATGAATTAAATAAATATTTATAAATATATATAATATAAAATATTAAAATATATGTAAATAAAAATATCTAGTGTGTGTACCATATAAAAACATTGAAACAGAAAAGTATAAAGTAAAGTAATTCTAAGAAACACCAAACAACGGAAAACGACGAGTAGTTTTGATGTCAACAAACGCACAGAAAATGGATAAGAGGTGTGTAAATAAGAAAAAACCATATAATATTATTAATAATTACAAAATAGATAAAAAAAAAATGAATTTCTATTAAATCTGCTCCAAAGTCATTTTCTATTGAAGTTCTGAAACTGTTTTGTTAAATTGAATAAAAATCATTTTGACGTCTATAAAAGTAATTCTATGAATATTTCTTAGCCAATATATATATCTTAAATTATACAATCAAAACTTAAAAAAAAAATCAAAAAAAAAAAATTAAATGGAATAAAAAAGAACTAGATATAATCAAATAAAATAAAATAAGGTAAATTAAAAAAACAAAGTAAAAAAAATAAAAAAATCAAAAAAATAAAACAAATATATACTCCTATATATATATATATATATATATATATACATATATATATAATGAGAAATAAAATTAACTGGAATATAAGAATATAAAAATAAATCAATCCACGGAATTAAATTCATTTTAGATAATTAAAAATATAAGAAATATAAAAATAAATTTGAAAAAAAAAACGAAAAATTAAAAATATAATAACATAAAGTGAAATTAAAGTAAATATAATTTAATAAAATTAAATCTAATTAATTGTCTCTGGTTTTAAGTTTTATGGAACTGTCACAGACTCATTGGGATGCCCACAGATCGAGCCAAAGGTTATCCCATTAAGACAAATGCGTGCCGCTTTCACTTATTGTTGTTTTACCTATGTTTCCTGGACATCTCAAGTTCGATTCGAATTCGAATAGGAAGAAGTGTGATCAGGCAACCGTGGTGAATTTTGGAATAGCAGCCATAACTTCTACCGTTTAAACCGTTTTTGTAAAAGTCTTTCACTAACTGAAAAAACTTATTGTCTAAATCAGTTCAATAAAATTATAAATAAATTAAGTTAAACGAAATAAAATAACTATAAACTCAATAAAATAAAAAAATAAAAATAAAATAAAATATCATAAAATAAAATAATATAAAATAAAATAAAATAAAATAAAATAAAATAAAATAAAATAAAATAAAATAAAATAAAATAAAATAAAATAAAATAAAATAAAATAAAATAAAATAAAATAAAATAAAATAAAATAAAATAAAATAAAATAAAATAAAATAAAATAAAATAAAATAAAATAAAATAAAATAAAATAAAATAAAATAAAATAAAATAAAATAAAATAAAATAAAATAAAATAAAATAAAATAAAATAAAATAAAATAAAATAAAATAAAATAAAATAAAATAAAATAAAATAAAATAAAATAAAATAAAATAAAATAAAATAAAATAAAATAAAATAAAATAAAATAAAATAAAATAAAATAAAATAAAATAAAATAAAATAAAATAAAATAAAATAAAATAAAATAAAATAAAATAAAATAAAATAAAATAAAATAAAANAATAAAATAAAATAAAATAAAATGAAATGAAATGAAATGATGAAATTAAATCAATTTAAATTAAATTAAATTAAATTGAGTTATATTAAATTTAAGTAAATTGAATTAAATTAAATAAAACGAAATTTATTCAAATAAAACTAATTAATTACAATAAATTAAAATAGATAAAACAAAAAATTAAAAATGAACTAATGGTAAATTGAAACAACTTAAAATAAAATAAAGTAAAAAAAAGAACAAAATAACAATGGTAAAATAAAACAAAATATTAAAATAGATCAAAACAAAGTATAATGAAATAAAATAAAACAAAATAAATTCAATTAAAATATTTTAAAATAAATAAAAAAAATTAAAAACTTAAAATACACAAAATCAAAAAGGTAAAATAAAACAAAGTATAATGAAATGGAATATATAAACAAATTAAAGAATACTGTACAGCTAAATAAATAAGAGTAAGCTTATATAAAATAAGTTTAAATAAAATTAATAAAAATAAACAAAAAACAAAAAACTAATGTTATTTTAAATGAACTAAGTTGGAAAATAAAGTTAACTTAAACTAGAGTTTTCAGTCTAAATATTGTTAATTGATTTTTTTCTTGAAATTTTTTATATTCTTGAGCTATGAAATAATTTATATAAAATATGATTCCCTGTCAGTGTCTTCCCTGCGGTGAAGTTATGTAAGGCTTACCGGAAATCTCGTACAAATGTACACAAAAATATCTGTGTAATCAGCAGTACAGATTAAGTACACCTGTAACACTCCCGTGGGCTAAACGGCATTACACACAGCGGGAAGGGCCAAGCAAAGCTTTTAACTGCGATCTTTTCAATACTAAAGTCGGAGGAAGAGAACATGTGAAAATCACGCAGCTCGTTTTATTTTCATAGTTTTTACTATTTTCCTTTATTTACTACTACCATTTTTTATGCCACTTTTATACTCCTATTACACACTACTTTCTTTCTATCTTTCCTTTTATAAATATTTCTCTCTATCACTGTTGTTTGTAATTGCAATTGTCATTTACCTTCTCGCTGAGTAAAAGAATAAATAAAAAGGATTCACAACCAACATTGCGACCCGTACGGCCTGTTTAGGCGTAATTAATTTTGTTGTCATGGGGCGCGGGTAATCCCTATGCATTTATTTGTACATATACCCATATACATATGTTATTGAAGCTTTCTCGTTGGTAAGTTTTCTGAGCGTGAGCCAAACAATATTCTGCCGACAATAAAATCAACACAGTCCAACGTGGTGAGCCGAGCCTTTGTGCACAGCCAGAATGAGCTCTGGTGACTTGTTGTCACTTGGGTGGCGACTGAGCGACACAATATAACATACAAAGTGACACTTGCACTGTCCGGAACACAAACCTTCATATGTGCATACAAATTTATATGTATTTCGTTGTCATGTAAAGCACATTTGAGTGGCGGTTTGTGTTGGTTTGTGGGACTTCCTCTTATGTAGCCTGCAGTTCTAGCTCTGTCAGCTGTTTATCTTTACGCCAAACTGCGCTAACAGCGCCACAGGACATGCCGTGTGCGGATATGCATATGCAAATACACGTATATTCCGACTACTATCCCTTAATTAAAACTTTACCGCTAGCGTAGTGTATGAACTCCTTGTTTGTCTTCTTCGTTATCGGTGTTTGCGCAAATACAAATTTACATGCAACATTTTAATTCACACGTGCAACTTACATATTTCAAGAGTTGGGTGCAGTCGAAGTTTTTAACCTTTGAAGGAGATAGTTGTAAGCTCAAGCCCATCGAAGAGTCTATAAGTAGATATAAAACGGATTTCTTAACCAAGAACCCTATTTCTATATTGGGAAAAGAAGAAATTATTGCCATTAATTTAGTGGAATTAATAAAATTTAACAGTTGTATAAACAAAGCGACCCACATTACACAGGGCGAGGACAACACATGTTCTAATAATACCTTACCTCCACCAATACTTTTGCTACCTTACGGTAAGTTTTACTGCAATTTACATTTCATTAAAATAGCCGCATAATTACTTTAATTCATAAGTCATGATGGGCTACTTTTTTATACTTTAACGAGTTCTTTGTTTTCTCGTTTATCTTAACAATTGTAAAGCTCTCCCTCTCAATATTTCTTTTCCACTTTTATTTATTTTTTTCTCCTTTACAACGTCGCTTTGTCACTTTTGTTCAGCTAATTTCGCAAAGTGTGGCAATGTGGCATCAAAGAAAGGTGTGTCACTCATACAATTAGATAATGAAACACTCACACGTACATTTAACTGTAATTGTGCAAGTGTTGATGCAAACTCAAATGGCTTAGAGTGTGTCCCTGTTTTCTTATATCTATGTAGATACTATGTGTTATTTATGCGTTACTTCAATGCAATTTCCAGCGCAATTAAAACACTTTAAATTGCAATAATTAAATAAACGAGCACAAACATATGTAAGTATAATTATGTAACAACATAGGTTGTACATTTAATCAAGTAGAAGCATTTGCAAATAACGGTCTTGGCGTAGCTTTAATTTCTTCATTTAAAATTTTTCATTGTACTTAATTTTCAATTTAGCTTTATTTATTTTATTTGAATCTCCTTTCTCTACTTAATTTAATTTTATTATATTTTATTTTAATTAATATGTTATTTTATTTTATTTTGTTTTTTTTAATTTATTTTAATTTATTTTATTTTATTTTATTTTATTTTATTTTATTTTATTTTATTTTATTTTATTTTATTTTATTTTATTTTATTTTATTTAATTTTATTTTATTTTAATTTAGTTTATTTTATTTTATTTTAGTGTAAGCTGTAGGTCTCTCCTTTTGTGATGAACAACCACAAATCGATAGAGGAGTTCAGCTGGAAAACGCTTCAGCGGTTACATAATGCCAATTATATATATACGGGTATATACGTGTGTATATATATATTCGATGTTATTAATTTTTTTTGTATAGTCTTTTCTCATAACAGAATTTAATGATTAAAAACACTTTTTTATGCCCAAAATATCCATCATCACATATATATATTTTTGTATTATTATCAGTTGCAGCTGAAATTTTATTATGAAATTAGCAAATAAAAGCTTTTTTCCACCAGTTGATTTTTACATCCACATAATTTAGTGTAAACATACATATGAACATTACCAGTGATAGCAAATTAAATTGAAATTCCGCGAAAAAAAATTTTACTAATAAAAATTTAATTAGAAATAAAAAATTTTACCACCCTCTCCACTGAAAACCTCAAGATATTCATTCATGCAAAATATTAGCTTCCAAAAATTTGTTCTCAAAGAGCAAGATGAGATCATTTTTAATGTATGAATTCTCGCCAGAGGCTTCATTGAAACGTCGACAGCATTCAACTATAAAAATTAATCAAAATGTCGAAAATTTGTGGCAGGCACATAAAGTTGCGAAGAAGTGAAAGAATTGCTCTTAAACGCACTTTAATTGCGACCATTCTTTCACAGATGTGCGGCTTTTTATTTGCAAGCACCAGCGCCTACTGATACGTACTCGAATGTGTACGATACGTATTTTCCTATGTTGGGTGTCGTATGCATACAT